TACTACGAATTGATATAATGAGATGCAGTTAAACTGACTCTTTAGATAAGGCTGAAGAGTGGCCACAAACTGGGAAGCTGGTGCACAAAGTGTTGGATCCACAACACAGAATGCGTGCAAAGCCAGCATATATGAAACCGTCCGCCTCTCTCAACATCAGATTTAAATATCAACCAAATTGTTTTGGTAAGTCAAGAAGATGGGGGGAAAAATACCTGCAATATCCTTTCCAGTAAGCACTTGCACATTAACTCACAGCGCTTGCGTACAGATGCAAGTGAGACAGGGTATATCCCAATCACCGTGTTTGTTCAGCATATTATTATTATTATATTCTACTTGTGTAGATGAAATTATGAGGAAATCCAGAATCCTTGCAACCATGTGAGAGCTGAGCTGCCTATTGGCCAAGTTGATGAACCCGACTTGTGAATTCTCCATTAAACTTGTCTGCAATCAACTAAATTGTCAAAATAGAGATGTTATTATATAATAAATCAGGGAGTAAATGAAAAGGCTTACTAACCAGAAGCAAATGAAGAATCTTATCCAACCCTCTGGAAAAAGAGTTTTTTTTTGTCCCAATGCTAAAGTAATCTTCTTGACTGAATCCCTTGTCAATAATGACAAAACAGTCCCAGAATCCAGCACTACTTCTTTTGATTTCAGTCTAGCAAGATAGTACATGAACTTCTGCTGTGATTTTGGATCATCCTTGTACCACAACAAGAGATGAAACCTGTACAACATGCATAGATTTACGATGGAAACAATGGAACCACAAAGTTACGATGGAAACAATGCAGGAGATGGAACAAAATCAAGTGAAATGGCCTAAGATTACATGCACCCTATTAGTTAGTATTGCAGTACAAGATCATCAGCCTAAGAAGGTTGATTCACTAGTGACCTGCCACATGGCTCTGAAAACAGTGTAATCCTAATTCCACGCCAACCAAAAGCTCATTATCTTTCAATTTCGAACTAACTTAAGTCAGTTCCGGTACACCAAGAGGTACCCTTCCAGGATGTGGCATCCAGGGGTAGGCGCCAGGGAGCTAGGCGGCGTCTGGGCGCCCTCCTAGGCGGCTCTAGGCTGACCTAGGCGGCCCTAGGGGGCTCTAGGCGGCCTAGGCGGCTCTAGGAGGGCGTTTTGCCATTGAGGTGTGGACGGAGGGCGGTTGAAATGCGCAGGATCTGCTGCTTGTTAGGAAGAAAGACGGAGAGAGAGAGAGAGAGAGAGAGAGAGAGATCGAGACAGAGAGAGGAAGGAGAAGGCGACGCTGGGAAGAAGAAGAAATCTGGCCTAATTCGTATATTTGAGAATTATAGCCGCTCGGCTATACCATTAATTTGAAGGAAAAAAAAGGGGAGTATAAAGGCCTGGCCATACTATTTACATTTGAACAGTATAGCCACCCGGCTATACTACTCATTGGAATAAAAAAAAATTAAAAAGGAAGCGGCGATACTATTAATTACAGGAAAAAAATAAAATAAAAATTGGAGTATAACCGCGCGGCTGTACTCTTTTAATATGAGCATCACCGCCCGGCTGTACCCAATCCAATTCATTCAGCGAATTAATATTGCAAAACAAAGGATACATCATCCATATTCAAAAACAAACATTCCAAAAGAAGCTTCAAAATGTCAACTTGAAATGATGCTTAAAGGAACACATTCGTCATAACTGCATTTGACTGCAACGATACCTTTCAACAATTTCAAACCGTAACAAGGAAATTAAACAAAAAAACTCTTCATCTGGTTATGAGCCATTACTGCTAAAGCTGCATGAATGGACTCTAGTGCACAATTTATTGATGAAATCACATCTCAATTTGATTGACATATTGAAGATAAAAGTAATAAATGAAAGTGATCATGAACACCTATTAAAATAAAAACACCACATATATATATGTACATAGAATTGAGCATATAAATTTTAACCACAACGAAAATACTGTATAACCACTGCCAAATGAGTGAAACTATTTCTCTAAATTTCTTCCTCCCTCTCTTTCCTGATTATTCCCATTATTACTCTGAACATTTATCACTCCCCAAAACTGTTCCCATTGCTCTCTCCAGTCTCCATTACTACCTAATGAAATTTATACATAATAAGTAGTCTCAGATGCTGATAAACATTTTTTTTTGTCCATAATTATTTTATCTCCCTAATGTTTCTGCCCAAATCTGGTGATAAATAGGGAAACATAGGGTCAGACAAACAGTGATTCAGATAACAAGACCATTATAAGATGAAATTTAAAACAATCAATATATTGCAAGGCACCTCAGTAACATCATTACTAGCATGGAGATTCTAAAATCAGACCCCATAAAAAAATAAAAATAAAAATCATGGAGAAGCAAAACTAAAAATAGCACAAATTTTCAACGAAAATATAAACAAGAAGAATAGCACAAAAGCCTGAAGAAATGTAGTTTAAGAAGCAAACTACCACAACAGCTATGCTATATGCAAGAAAGAATGCAGGACATAAAACAAGCTCACCTGCTCACATTCACTTATAGACAAGCCTTCAGCTCGATGTATCTGATGATCTAAAATCCTTAACAATCTAACAAAAGAATCTACAGGGACCAAATGTAGAAGCCTCTTTGCTCGAAGAGACATTATTTCATTTGCAAGCACTCTAAGATCAGAAAGAGGAATAGATAACCACTCAGCTTCTTCCCGATCATCACTGAAAATTTCAGCTCTACCGCAGAAATCCTCCACCAACTCACAAAAGCGTCCAATGATGGCGTCTAAATAAGATTTTTCAAAATAAGTCACTCACATGAATATTGAAAATAAAAATGTGAGATCGTGCTTGAGAGAGAGAGAGAGAGAGAGAGAGAGAGAGAGAGAGAGAGAGAGAGAGTTCTAAAACCCAATAACAACCTTGAATTGCAGTCTGATCTGGTCCGACTGATGACATAACGACATCACTATCTTTTTTCTTGGCTTTTGGTTTTCTAGAAGATGGTGTAGATACGTCCTGCAATTTCATCTTCTAGATTAGGAAAAAAGGAAGGGGGAAAATGATTATCAACTGCCAAATAGATCCATACATACATTAGGAGGAATATCATTGTGCTGATTATGGTTAGTTGCACCATACTATCTTTGATCATGTCTGGGTATAGCCATAGTGAGAAACATGAATAAAAACTGAGTATAGCCCGGCGGCTATACTATTTATTTAAATAGAAGTCTATCGATTAGGCGGCAACGTGTCAAAATGGCTATACTATTTTTTAAAAAAATTAAAAAAACCGAGTATAGCCGACAGCTACAGTTTTTATTTTAAAAAAAAAAAAAAAATAGTACAGCCGAAGGGGTATATTCCAAAACAACTTTAAAAAATGACGTATAGCCGATCGGCTATACTATTTATGAAAAAGAAAAAAAAAGAGCAAAGACGTATAGCCGAACGGCTATACTATTTATGAAAAGAAAAAAAAAAGAGCCGCATAACGGCTAGTTGCATGTGTCAAAAGCATATAGCCGGCCGGCTATACAATTTATTATTTTTAAAAAAGGAACGGTCTAGGGATTGCCCATTTGTCAAATAAGTATAGCTACCGGCTATACTGTTTTATTTTTAAAAACCTAGTATAGCCGCTCGGCTGTCCTATTTTTTATAAAAAAAAGGAGGTCTCCCTAGCGATTAGGTGCCAACGTGTCAAAACCAGTGTAGCCGTGCCAGTATCGCCGTCCGGCTATACCTTTTAAATATATTATATTTAAAGGGTACAGCCGTGGGGGTATACAATATAAATATAATATTTAAATAGTATAGCCGTTAAAGAAGGCAGTTAGAGACCAGCATAATCCTCCTCCTTCTGTACACAGCAAAGTCCAAAACACATCATGTCAGGATTTGAAGAACACAGCAAACTAAAGACTCGTCAGGGAAAATAAAGGTCAACAATCCTGATTGGAATTAATATGGACCCAGCTATTCAAAATCCTTATTTGAAAACTCTATCTTCTTTTTTTTAATTTACTTAGGAAAGATGACATTAAGGAAAATATTTTGAAGCATTTTCAAATGGAACTTTTTCCATTTAGCTCAACTCTTTTTATATAACTTGGTTTCGGTTTTGATGATTTGCTAGCAGTATTAGACGCTACCATCCAATCAAAATTCACTTCTAATTGGGGATTTTTAATGTAAATGGAGACATTAATAGACTTTTCAAGGGGCACCTACTGCAGCTGGCCCAAAATAATAGCAAATAAGGTCTGGTTCCATATAGCAAGTGATTCAGCAACTTCGAAGATAAAAAGTGCATAAGCAAAAACATGTTTAAAAGCAAGAGATGGAACAAAATCAAGTGAAGGTTGCATGCACCCTATTAGTTAGTATTTCAGTACAAGATCATCAGACTAGGAAGGTTGATTCACTAGTGACCTGCCACATGACTGAAAACAGTGTAATCCTAATTCCACACCAACCAGAAGCTCATTATCTTTCAATTTCGAACTAACTTAAGTAAGTTCCGGTACACCAAGAGGTACCCTTCCAGGATGTGGCATCCAGGGGTAGGCGACAGGGAGCTAGGAGGCGTCTGGGCGCCCGCCTAGGCGGCTCTAGGAAGGTCTAGGCGGGTCTAGGCGGCCCTAGGAGGGTCTGGGCGGGCGTTTTGCCGTTGAGTAGTGGACGAAGGGCAGTTGAAGTGCGCAGGATCCGCTGCTTGTTAGGAAGAAAGATGGAGAGAGAGGAAGGAGAAGGCGACGCTGGGAAGAAGAAGATATTTGACCTAGAGTACAGCCGCGCGGCTATAGTTTTTATTTAAAGAAAAAAAACCGGAGTATAAAGGCGAGGCCGTACTATTTATATATATATTAGTATAGCCGCGCGGCTGTACTAGTCATGGGAATAAAAAAATTTAAAAACGGATTATAGCCGTCCGGCTATACTATTAATTTCAGGAAAAATAAAATAAAAAATGGAAGTCGGTATAGATATGCAATTATGAAGATCAGCTTGTTGATTTTGATTGGTGTGGGTAGTTTTGGGTCTGTGTATAAAGGAGTTCTTGATTTTGATGGAGCTCAGCTTGTTGCCATCAAGGTGTTTAACATGTTACATCATGGAGCATCTAAGAGTTTCTTGGCCGAATGTGTGGCGTTAAGAAATATCAGGCATCGAAATCTCGTCAAGATTATAACGGCATGTTCAACTGTTGATTATCAAGGTAATGATTTCAAGGCTCTCCTGTATGAGTTAATGGACAATGGGAGCTTAGAAGAGTGGTTGCATTCGACTATTGAAACGAATGAGGAAACAGATGCACCCCAGAATTTAAATCTTCTTCAGAGGCTAAACATCACCATTGACATTGCTTGTGCACTTGATTATCTTCATAACGGTTGCGAAACACCAATAGTCCATTGTGATCTCAAGCCAAGCAATGTTCTCTTGGACGCAGAGTTGACTGGACATGTTTCTGACTTTGGACTTGCAAGATTCCTTGCAAAATTAGCCGATAAGGCTTCAGCAAATCAAGCAAGTTCCATTGGCATAAAGGGATCGGTTGGCTATGCTTCACTGTTGCCTTTCTTTATCTTTTAACTTGGTTCTAATTACAATTAATTGATCATTTGCATCGACAGTTCATGTTCCATGCCCTCATTTCCACTCACATAATCAGTTACTCTTACTTTGTTGCATAATTCAAGAGAGCCATTTTATTTAGAATTGTGGTGACAATATTTTCTGATACTTCAACTGCAGAGTTTGGTATGGGAAGTGAAGTGTCGAAAAGTGGAGATGTCTACAGCTTTGGCATTCTCTCGTTAGAGATGTTTACGGGAAGGAGACCCACTGACCACATGTCTAGTGATGGCTTGAACCTTCATAATTCTGTGAAGACGGCTTTTCCCGATCGAGTCACAGAGATTGCAGATTTACTTCTTCAAGAAGGCAGCATCGAATCTCCCGAACAATACAGCATTAAGGCTCAAAGAGTGGAGGAGTGCTTGAGTTTGATATTTAAACTTGGAATTGCATGTTCTGTTGAATCCCCCGCGAACCGAAAGGATATCAGTGATGTTGCATCTGAATTACATTCCATCAGGGATATGCTTCTTGGTTAGAAACTTTTCCTACTTTCCTACTCTACATATCAAGGAAAGAATCATTGGCGCCGGCTGCTTAAGGTTTGGTCATCTTTTTTGTTTTTTCTTCTGTTTTTTTTGCTGTTTGTTCTTACAGTTTCTTGTGAGGGATTTCACTGTGTTTGTTCAGCATATTATTATTATTATATTCTACTTGTGTAGATGAAATTATGAGGAAATCCAGAATCCTTGCAACCATGTGAGAGCTGAGCTGCCTATTGGCCAAGTTGATGAACCCGGCTTGTGAATTCTCCGTTAAACTTGTCTGCAATCAACTAAATTGTCAAAATAGAGATTTTATTATATAATAAATCAGGGAGTAAATGAAAAGGCTTACTAACCAGAAGTAAATGAAGAATCTTATCCAACCCTCTGGAAAAAGAGTTTTTTTGATTGTTGTCCCAATGCTAAAGTAATCTTCTTGACTGAATCCCTTGTCAATAATGAAAAAACAGTCCCAGATCCAGCACTACTTCTTTTGATTTCAGTCTAGCAAGATAGTACATGAACTTCTGCTGTGATTTTGGATCATCCTTGTACCACAACAAGAGATGAAACCTGTACAACATGCATAGCTTTACGATGGAAACAATGGAACCACAAAGTTAGGAAGGGATGAGGTTCAATGGAGGAGATGGAACAAAATCAAGTGAAATGGCCTAAGGTTGCATGCACCCTATTAGTTAGTATTTCAGTACAAGATCATCAGCCTAAAAAGGTTGATTCACTAGTGACCTGCCACATGACTGTGAAAACAGTGTAATCCTAATTCCACGCCAACCAAAAGCTCATTATCTTTCAATTTCGAACTAACTTATGTCAGTTGCGGTACACCAAGAGGTACCCTTCCAAGATGTGGCATCCAGGGGTAGGCGCCAGGGAGCTAGGCGGCGTCTGGGCACCCTCCTAGGAAGGTCTAGGCTGACCTAGGCGGCCCTAGCGGGCTCTAGGCGGCCTAGGCGGCTGTAGGAAGGTCTAGGCGGCTCTAGGCGGGTCTGGGAGGGCGTTTTGCCATTGAGGCGTGGACGAAGGGCGGTTGAAGTGCGCAGGATCTGCTGCTTGTTAGGAAGAAAGACGCAGAGAGAGAGAGAGAGAGAGAGAGAGAGAGAGATCGAGACAGAGAGAGGAAGGAGAAGGCGACTCTGGGAAGAAGAAGATATCTGACCTAATTTGTATATTTGAAACGTATAGCCGCGCGGCTATACTATTAATTTCAAGGAAAAAAAGGGGAGTATAAAGGCCCGGCCATACTATTTATATTTGAACCGTATAGCCGCCCGGCTATACTACTCATTGGAATAAATAAAAATTAAGAAGGAAGCGGCGATACTATTAATTTCAGGAAAAAAATACAATAAAAAATGGAGTATAACCGCTCGGCTGTACTCTTTTAATATGAGTATAACCGCCCGGCTGTACCTAATCCAATTCATTCAGCCAATTAATATTGTAAAACAAAGGATACTTCATCCATATTCAAAAACAAACATTCCAAAAGAAGCTTCAAAATGTCAACTTGAAATGCTGCTCAAAGGAACACATTCGTCATAACTGCATTTGACTGCAACGATACCTTTCAACAATTTCTTCCTCCCTCTCTTTCCTGATTATTCCCATTATTACTTTGACCATTTATCACTCCCCAAAACTGTTCCCATTGCTCTCTCCAGTCTCCATTACTACCTAATGAAATTTATACATAATAAGTAGTCCCCTCCAAATGCTCAGATGCTTAATACATTCTCTATACTGATAAACATTTTTTTTTTGTCCATAATTATTTTATCTCCCTAATGTTTCTGCCCAAATCTGGTGATAAATAGGAAAACATAGGGTCAGACAAACAGTGATTCAGATAACAAGACCATTATAAGATGAAATTTAAAACAATCAATACATTGCAAGGCAACTCAGTAACATCATTACTAGCATGGAGATTCTAAAGGCAGACCCCCAAAAAAAAAAACAGGTGAGATCAAAAAAAAAAAGGTGAGATCACGCTTGACAGAGAGAGAGAGAGAGAGAGTTCTAAAACCCAATAACAACCTTGAATTGCAGTCTGATCTGGTCCGACTGATGACATAACGACATCACTATCTTTTTTCTTGGCTTTTGGTTTTCTAGAAGATGGTGTAGATACGTCCTGCAATTTCATCTTCTAGATTAGGAAAAAAGGAAGGGGGAAAATGATTATCAACTGCCAAATAGATCCATACATACATTAGGAGGAATATCATTGAGCTGATTATGGTTAGTTGCACCATAGTATCTTTGATCATGTCTGGGTATAGCCATGGTGAGAAACATGAATAAAACCCGCGTATAGCCGTGCGGCTGTACTATTTATTTAAATAGAAGTCTATCGATTAGGCACCAACGTGTCAAAACGGCTATACTATTTTTTATAAAATTTAAAAAACCAAGTATAGCCGACCGGCTACAGTTTTTTTTTTTTTTAAACTTTTTTTTTTTAAAGTACAGCCGAAGGGATATATTCCAAAAAAACTTTAAAAATGACGTATAGCCGATCGGCTATACTATTTATGAAAAGAAAAAAAGAAGAGCCGCATTCCAAGTGTCAAAAGAGTATAGCCGTTCGGCTATACTATTTATTATTTTTTTAAAAGGAACCGTCTAGGGATTGCCCACGTGTCAAATAAGTATAGCCACCGGCTATACTGTTTTATTTTTAAAAACCGAGTGCAGTCATCCAGCTATACCTTTTAAATATATTATATTTAAAGGGTTCAGCCGTGGGGGTATACAATATAAATATAATATTTAAATAGTATAGCCGCCCGGCTATACGATTTATTAAAGAAAAAATCGCTGCCTGGCTCGCTTCACTGAATCACGCTTCCCATCAAAATCTTCAAGTTGAAGGCCAAAAAAGGGGTGGGAATTCCTTATTGGAGCTCTCATGGCGCCTCCCAAGATATCAAAGAAAAGCAAGAAAGATAGGAAATTCAAGAAAAACTTAAGCTGAAGAGTGACCACAAACTGGGAAGGGTCAGAACTGAGTTTGTGAACCAGTAGGTTTCTCAAACCAGAACTCATAAAATGTCTTGCAAACAATATCCTATGGAAGAGGAAAAGAATAAAAACTGCGACCTAGCCAAGGACAAACAAATGTTTATACTTATATTTTACATGTCGTCAATCCTTAATCCAATTCCAACACATTCATTGCTTCAGAATTACCTTTATACTTGATTCATCGTCACCAATACGGGAGATGATAGCAATGCAAGCTTTTGTAAATTCGGAGAAGTTTGCATTTGAAACGCACACATCTCATATGATTTTGATAGATCGTTTTCGAACACTTACTCCGATTCTCTCAGCAACCTACTCAAAATACTAAAAGAAAATGTGGAGAAGATGAAGCAAAATGCGTTAATAGAGAATCTACAAAGAACTTAGGAGGTTTAGATATCAATTGAGCACACCTTCAAACCAACATCAGGATGAGAAGCAATATGCCTCCCTACAAGTTCCAGTGCTGCTTCTCTGACAGAAATTACGGAATCACAAAACCTTCCTTCAACAGCCGATTGAACGCGTTTGTCTCCTAGCATCTGCGGATCAGCTTCTACAATTATACTGACCTGCTCAACATATTAAGATATTAAGACATTAAATTCTGCCAGCATAGCCATAAAATGAATTCTCAATTTCCATTTCAAGGATTAAAAGTCCAAAAATATATTTTTTCGCTTACCGCTCGTAAAGCCTTGGCCCTAATTACAGGTGAATTCTCCATTAAACTTGCCTGCAATCAACTAAATTGTCAAAATAGAGATTTTATTATATAATAAATCAGGGAGTAAATGGAAAGGCTTACTAACCAGAAGCAAATGAAGAATCTTATCAAACCCTCTGGAAAAAGAGTTTTTTTGGTCCCAATGCTAAAGTAATCTTCTTGACTGAATCCCTTGTCAATAAAGAAAAAAGACACAAAGAACCTGCAAATAAATCGACTTCAAAATGGGAGCTGAAGCGGGATATTCAGGTAAATTCAATGTTGTCAGCAGAACAGTAACAAGATTCTCCATCATTACTTTCAACTCCGAAGCTTCCTGAGTCTTCGCACTAGGAAACCGTTGAAGTACACGAGTCCAAAAGTGGCAAGGAGGCCTAGGCGGCCCTAGGCGGCTCTAGGCGGCTCTAGGAAGGTCTAGGCGGGTCTAGGCGGCCCTAGGAGGGTCTGGGCGGGCGTTTTGCCGTTGAGGCGTGGACGAAGGGCAGGATCCGCTGCTTGTTAAAGTACACGAGTATAGCCTTCAGACCAAAAACATTAAAAAACCGAGTATAGCCGAAAGGCTGTACAGTTTTTTTTTTTTTTTAAAGTGAGGGCTCCCTAGCGTTTAGCCGCCTATGTGTGAAAACAAGTGTAGCCGTGCGACTGCAGTATTTATTTTTTTTAAATCGTACAGCCGTACGGTTATACTATATTCTCCAAAAAAAACTTTTAAAATATTGTATAGCCGAGCGGCTATACTAAAAGGGGAAAAAAGCCACATAGCACGTAGTTGCACGTGCCAAAAGCATATCGCCGCACGGCTATACTATTGTTAGATACATGAATAAAACCGAGTATAGCCGGCCGGCTATACGATTTATTTTTTGAAAAAAAGGAACCCGTCTAGCGATTGTGCACGTGTCAAATAAGTATAGCCGGCCGGCTATTCTATTTTTCAAAAAGTATATTAAAAAAAACCACGTATAGCAGCCCTGCTGCCCTATTTTTTTTAATTAAAAAAAAGGTAGGGCTCCATAGCGATTAGGTGCCAACGTGTCAAAACCAGTGTAGCCGTTTTTAAATTTTTTTTAAATGGAGTCTAGCCGCCCGGCTATACGATTTATGAAGAAATAAAAAAGCCACATAACTCCTGGGTGCCCACTCGTCAAAATAAGTATAGCCGAGCGGCGATACGCGTCTTTTTTATTAAAAAAAAATCGTAGCATTGCCCGTGATTAGGTGCCACACGTGTGAAAGTGCTTGAGTTTGATATTTAAACTTGGAATTGCAGTTTCTGTTGACGACTCCCCTGTGATTAGGTGCAACCATGTGAGAGCTGAGCTGCCCATTTCAATTCATGAAAATAACATTATGATTGGCAGCCAATAGTGGTTTTTTCATGTCGATCCTAATCTTTGTAAATTATTGGGATTTTGTTTTCTGGCAATCAAAGGTTTTTGATGATATCATCTTGGCACAGTTTAGGTATTCCTGTTCCCTATCTTTTCACCATGTTTGAAAATGTGCTCTTTCTAGCAAATATGACAACCGAGAGTTGGGGGCATTGACCACACCCATCCTCAATTTTTTATAAACAACTAAGTAGTAAGTAGCATGTCACCATCTCATAAAAGTTTTTGGTTTCACACCATCTTCTCTCCCTTTCACTCCTTAGTTACCAGTTACCTGTTGGGTTCTATAATGTAACTAGATTTTATTTCTTATAGCTTTCGGTGGTGATCAAAGTTTTGATAATATTAATATCACAAGTCAAGAAAGGGAGCTGGCCTAATGCGGTTTTGGTTAGAGGTATTTACTTTGACGTACGTTTCAGTGCACTGATTTAATTGGTACCAGCCTAGTGGGGCTGTTCTACTTCCACTCAGCTTCTGGTGAAGCACTCACTTCGCTGTCTTAGCTGCCCAGAAACTTCTCCTACCCACAACAGTTGTGACCAATTGGAAAACAAGTCCACTGTGATGATCATCATTTACTTGGGACTTTTTTCTCATATTTTACTAATTTTCCACAACCATTAGATGTGATGTAGCTTCTTCCATTCCTGTCCTAATAAATTAATTTGCCATGTCTCAAATGGAACTTAGCAATTTCACAACCCAATTCTTCTTCTTCTTCTTCTTCTTCTTCTTCTTTCTCTCTCTCTCTCTCTCTCTCTCTCTCTCTCTCTTGTTCATCACCCAAATCAAAATGGTTGTGAAATTGATCTTAGCACACTCACTATTTACTGCAATGTTCATTTGTTGTTGGAGCTCCATGCATTTGAACTATCCAATAACCACAAACCGGTACAGATTGGGACTCGGAGGAAATGAGACGGATAGGCTGGCACTGCTAGCCATCAAAGCTCAAATAAAGCAGGATCCTCATCAACTCCTGAGCTCCTGGAATGAATCCATCCACTTTTGTCTATGGCACGGTGTCACTTGCAGTCTTAGACAGCATCAGAGGGTCTCTATGCTAGACCTACAGTCCCAAAACTTTGCAGGGTCCATATCCCCACAAATAGGAAATCTGAGCTTCCTAAGGGAACTATACCTCCAAAACAATAGCTTTACTCATGAAATCCCTTCAGAAATTGGGCATTTGCATAGGTTAAAGATTTTACGTCTAGACCAAAACTTACTTAGTGGCCCTGTTCCTGCCAAAATATCCAATTGCATCAACCTCATCTTTATCCATTTTGGTGATAACAGGTTGGTGGGTAAGATTCCTTCAGAAATCAGCACCTTGTCAAAGCTTCAAAAACTTGTTTTACAATCCAATAATTTCACAGGAGAAATCCCTCCTTCCTTGGGGAACCTTTCGTCTCTCGAGACACTCGGTGCTACTTATAATAACTTGTTGGGAAGCATCCCTACCTCTCTGGGCCAGTTGAAAAAATTAACACGGTTTGCAATGGATTCAAATAACTTGTCAGGTACTATCCCTCCTTCCTTCTATAACCTCTCTTCTCTCGTTATTTTTGCCCTAGCAATAAACCAATTTCAAGGGACTATTCCTTCGGACTTGGCTAAAACTCTTCCTAATCTTCAAACATTTGAATTTCACACGAACCATTTTACCGGATCAATTCCTTCATCAATATCCAATGCCACAAGTCTAGTGGCATTTGAAGTTTCAAATAATAAACTGACCGGACAGGTTCCAAATTTGGAAAGGCTTCATAACCTTGTGAATTTTAACATCCAATTTAATCATCTTGGAAGCGGTCAACAGGGTGACTTGAGATTTGTCTCAGACTTGTGCAATGCCACAAGGTTATGGAGGTTGATAATAAGCTCTAACAATTTTGGCGGGACATTACCCGCTTCAATAGCCAACCTCTCAACCACTCTTGAAGTTCTTATTGTTCAAAGAAACAAGCTACATGGAAGCATACCAGCTGGGATAGGGAATCTGGTCAACTTGGAATTGTTGGCTCTGGGGGAAAACTCCTTCACAGGTAGCATCCCCACAGATTTTGGGAAGCTTTCAATGGTTGAGGAAATAGATCTTCAAGTCAACCAGTTATCAGGAACCATTCCATCCTCTGTTGGAAACTTAACCAAGTTAACCGCACTGGGAATGCAAGGGAATAATCTTCAGGGAAGCATCCGGGTGCTAGGGGGATGCCTTGGACTGCAAGAATTGTATGCTTCTCAAAATAACTTTAGTGGCCCAATACCTCAACAACTTCTTGGCCTCCCTTCCTTATCAATCTATTTGGACTTGTCTAAAAACCACTTTACTGGTTCCCTTCCCATGGAGGTTGGGAAGTTGAACAATCTAGGTTCCTTGGATGTTTCTGATAACTTGTTATCAGGAGAACTTCCCAATAGCCTTGGTAGTTGTATACATCTAGAAGTCCTACACTTGCAGGGTAACTTCTTCAAGGGGCTCATTCCTTCATCTATGATTTCGGTTAAAGGGATTCAAGATTTAGACATTTCTCGTAACAATTTTTCGGGTGAAATTCCACGATTTTTAGAGAGCTTTACCTTGTTGAAGAATCTGAACCTATCTTTCAATCAGTTTTGGGGAGCAGTACCAACTGGAGGCGTTTTAAAAAATGCAAGTGCTACTTCAATTGTTGGAAACACCGGGCTCTGCGGCGGTGTTCCTAATCTCCAACTGGCCAAGTGCAAGTCTAAAGAGTCCAAGGGAGGCGGATTGTCTCGTGGCCTGAAAATACTTATCTCTATAGTTGTTGGGTTTGCTCTTCTAGGAATAGCTGTGGTGTTGTATTTTCTGTTTCTTCGATCGCCAAGAAAGGAAAACAGGGAAACTGCATTGAGCACTTCAATGAACTCTGTTTTGCAAGTGTCATATAGTACTCTTCTCAAAGCTACAAATCGGTTCTCTTCAGCTAATTTGATTGGTGTGGGTAGTTTTGGGTCTGTGTATAAAGGAGTTCTTGATTTTGATGGAGTTCATCTTGTTGCCATCAAGGTGTTTAACATGTTACATCATGGAGCATCTAAGAGTTTCTTGGCCGAATGTGAGGCGTTAAGAAATATCAGGCATCGAAATCTCGTCAAGATTATAACTGCATGTTCAACTGTTGATTATCAAGGTAATGATTTCAAGGCTCTCGTGTATGAGTTGATGGACAACGGGAGCTTAGAAGAGTGGTTGCATTCGACTATTGAAACGAAAGAGGAAACAGATGTACCCAAGAATTTAAATCTTCTTCAGAGGCTAAACATCACCATTGACATTGCTTGTGCACTTGATTATCTTCATAACGGTTGCGAAACACCAATAGTCCATTGTGATCTCAAGCCAAGCAATGTTCTCTTGGACGCAGAGTTGACTGGACATGTTTCTGACTTTGGACTTGCAAGATTCCTTGCAAAATTAGCCGATAAGGCTTCAGCAAATCAAGCAAGTTCCATTGGCATAAAGGGATCGGTTGGTTATGCTGCTCCAGGTAAATATTCCTATATGCTTCACTGTTGCCTTTCTTTATCTTTTAACTTGGTTCTAATGAAAATTAATTGATCATTTGCATAGACAGTTCATGTTCCATGCCCTCATTTCCACCCACATAATCAGTTACTCTTACTTTGTTGCATAATTCAAGAGAGCCATTTTATTTAGAATAGTGGTGACAGTATCTTCTGATACTTCAACTGCAGAGTATGGTATGGGAAGTGAAGTGTCGAAAAGTGGAGATGTCTACAGCTTTGGCATTCTCTTGTTAGAGATGTTTACGGGAAGGAGACCCACTGACCACATGTTTAGTGATGGCTTGAACCTTCATAATTTTGTGAAGACAGCTTTTCCCGATCGAGTCACAGGGATTGCAGATTTTCTTCTTCAAGAAGGCAGCATCGAATCTCCCGAACAATACAGCATCAAGGCTCAAAGAGTGGAGGAGTGCTTGAGTTTGATATTTAAACTTGGAATTGCATGTTCTGTTGAATCCCCCGCTAACCGAAAGGATATCAGTGATGTTGCATCTGAATTACATTCCATCAGGGATATGCTTCTTGGTTAGAAACTTTTCCTACTTTCCTACTCTACATATCAAGGAAAGAATCAGTGGCGCCTGCTGCTTAAGGCTTGGTCTGTTTTTTATGCCGTTTGTTCAGCATATTATTATTATTATTATTATATTCTACTTGTGTAGATAAAATTATGAGAAAATCCAGAATCCTTGCAACCATGTGAGAGCTGAGCTGCATATTGGCCAAGTTGATGAACCCGACTTGTGTTAGTTTGGACCACATTTCAATTCATGAAAATAACATTATGATTGGCAGCCAATAGTGGTTTTTTCATGTCGATCCTAATCTTTGTAAATTATTGGGATTTTGTTTTCTTGCAATCAAAGGTTTTTGATGATATCATCTTGGCACAAATTAGATATTCTTGTTCCCTATATTTTCACCATGATGGAAAATGTGCTCTTTCTAGCAAATGAGACAACCGAGAGTTGGGGACCTTGACCATACACATTCTCTAAGTTTTTTCTTAGACAACTAGGCAGCATGTCACCATCTCATAAAAGTTTTTTGGTTTCACACCATCTTCTCTCCCTTTCACTCCTTAGTTACCAGTTACCTGTTGGGTTCAATCTATATCTTCCATTATAAGATACCGAGAAACTGTTACGTTATGTGTGACTAACAGTAGCATTTTTCGATTCGTGCATACAACATAAATATGCAAAGGCTAAAACCACCTAAAATGCAAGCAGATGGTTACAAGTTACTTTTTGGGTTTAATTTATATATTCGAGCTACCATACAACATATACAAAGGCCAACAAACACCATCTAAGTTTGAAAACCAATAGATTCGTAGATCAAGCATTTAAAATGTACAATTACAACAAGACCACCCTCACAACACTATATATATGTAATACAATCTGAGTATCTAAGAACCACACATCAAAATTATAAAACAATTGCAAGCATCTTCCTCGTAATTATCTTAACAGAGCAGAGTAAATCGATTTAACCATGAACAGAGGCGTATCGGTTGATCAAAGCCAAGGCATTGCTAGTCAATTGTGCTATATTTACAATCCGGCCTCTCACAGCAGTCTTCAAATTCCCATTCATCCCATTTCCACCAAACCCCTCAGAACATGTGTTCTCATCTGTCAAAGCAGCACTAACCCAAGTTTGGACATCACTTATCATGAGCTGAAAATCATAGCTTTTGAAGTTACCCATCTCAGCTATAGAACTCTGGAGCTCGTCCACCGAGTCACTTAACTCTTCGAGGCAGTCTCTCATGGCACCAACTTCTTTAGGCTTCAAACCATGGCTTTGGGAGAGTTTTAGCATCGTGGCAGAGGTGGATTTGGCAGAGGAAAGTGTCACATTAAGGGCTGCACCAGCCATGAGCTTAGGACTTGTTTGGATTGTGCTTGCATGGCTTGAGAGAGAGGTGCGGCAGAGTTTAGGGTAGGTTGTTGCACGGCAAGATGTTTTGATGAATTCAGTGTTGGTTTTTGGTGCAAGGTCTCTGGCTGCTGAGGTTGAGGAGATTATGCAGAAACTAATGGAAAGTGCTGTGAGAAAACATGTGGCAAAATGTGTAGAAGATGAAGAAGATTCCATCTTGATATTTTTGTGTCTCTGAATATTGGAGGCAGTGATGAGAGTAGGGAGGGAAGTGTGCCAATTTATAGAACCCAAGTTCGAAAAAAACAACAAAATCCCTAAAATAAAATAATATTGATGATAATAATAATAAAAAATTCTAGCAGCCTCAAAAGGAATATGGAAAAATCTTGTTTGGGGGGCCAAAAATGCCGAGATACATCTGCTCTTTAACATAAGTTGGTTTCTTTGGTTTCTCAACTTGCTGCAACAAGTTGGTCGATTTGGGTCCAAGTCTAAAAGCAAAAGCAATGTGAAACAAAAGAGCCTTGCTCTCGTACTCATCTAACCTTCATAATCAAATCAATCGCACCCAAAGTCGATGGGTGAGCCAGTCGACTGCTGTGTGTATTTGTATTTTTGCAACTTGAGCGTTTTTGGTCGACATGTATAACAATAAAAATCTCTCCCCTTAAAAGCACTCCAAAAGGGATTTAATGCATGCAAGAGTCCAAAGGGCCAATCAAGATCAAGTGGAGATTGATTGGAGTGGAGTGGAAGGCTCCAAATGGGCAAATACTATTTTATATTTGAAAATATTTTGGGAGACTTTGGAAAAACACAAAGGAGAGAGAAATTTTGTAAAAGAAGCCAAAATGGACAAAATTGCCCTTATTTATTTTTGGATTTCCTAAAGAATTCTTTACATTTGCATGTCTTTGATTTGAAAGTTGAGAGGTTTTTCTGTCTTTTTTGAAAAAACTTTGGCTTTTTCCAAAAGTGAAAGTTTTTTTATGGCTAAAACTTAAATTTACTAAATATTTTTACCCAGTCATTTTTAATACTTGACACGTGTTTATAGGCACAACAATTGTTAACTTTTTACTTTGTATTTACAGCCACAACAATTGTTAACTTTTTACTTTGTATTTACTATGCTCATTCGCCTAATTATCAACAACAGCAAACCAAGCCATGTGCAGACTGCAAACTAGAAAATAAAATAACTTTAAAAAACAGCAATATTGCACAAGTCAAAAGATGGCATTTTGTAATTAAAATAATGAACGAATTAAACTATTGAGTTCCATTTTCTCAATAATTGAATGTTATCTACTGATTCACGACAAATCATGGTCATGTGAAGTGGGAATATTAAGAGGAGGGTAAGTTTTTTTGGGGGGTTACATAACTTGTTATTGTTCTCGGAAAAAAAAAAATACGAAGCACAATTTGTTTCATCAATAGTCTATCGTTCGGTATTTAATTATATCTAGCTTTTTTGCGTGAGTGTAAGTTTTCTGAATACAAGAGATAGTGTAAACTAAAATAGAGATGATGGTTTCTCACATAACACTACCACTAGGCTAGACCCCGTTGGTTGCAATGGTTAAATTTTTTGTAACTGAATTGGCCTAAATATTTTGGGAAATTTGGATGAACCGTTACATTATTTTACTACACGTTTTCAAGAAATTAATGGGAAAACGCAGTCCCTGCTTTCTTCCATAAATTAGGGGATTTGGAAGTTGGGTACGTAGTGTAGCCGTCTTGATCACTCGCACATTGAGGTGTAAGATTCTTATTCAATTATTTTCCTTTAATTAGCAAATAATGCAACATACACGTGGCAAATGACACGTGGCCAGACGCCTGTGATTGTAGCAATGTTGAAGTTGGCAGAGTCGTAGAGGATCAAGACCGTAGGCAAGTCCACATCTCTCTCAACCGCAGAAACACCGCCTATCGTCCAGCAGCGTTTCACGCTACACTTACAATGCATGCGGACATGCGCTATGCCCGCACGTTCTTGTTCGGTTTTGACTTTTGAAACGTGAATGATTCGTGTCCATATATGATAGGGTAGCCACCTGGCACACCGTGCCCATGCTGCCGTATATCCTCACTTCCTGTAAACAAGCAAACGACTATATCCGTAATATTCAATACACTTTCTTTTCCGTATATCCTCACGTATTTCATCTTCATTTTTCCTTGCAATTACATTAACCTCAAATGCTTCTGTGATAGCTTTTCTTTAATATAAGCGATATTCTATTTTAATTTTATGAAAAAGGGGATTCGAACTCGGATATAGAGTGAGAATACATTCATTCTAGTCAATTCGGCTAAATTCATGTCTACACTTATTTGATAGTTAAATCAATTTTAAACATTAACAATATTAAAATTGAAGTAAAGTCTCGTCAAATGTATACCAATTAAGTATTCTAAGCCGGCAGAGTGAGAATGAATTTTTTTCTATTTTCGTCAATGATTTAATTTTTTTTATATTTTTGTCAATGATTTAATTTTGATTTCAAAAGTGCAAAGGTGGCTATTGTTGTGAGCCTTTGAATTAAGTATGTTTTGACAAGAATTACCAAATTAGCACCCGTTATGCATATAGGTTATTTGGTCCTTTGGGATCATTCTCCAAGATATTCTCCCTTGTTTTTGTTCAAATGTTTTTATCTACATTATTAGCTCTTATAATTTAATTATTTTTTATCTGTTGGGTCTAGTGCAAGATCCAAAACGTACACTCAAGCTAGCAAATGAACATGCGCAATATAATCTATTGTTTATACTTTATTTATTTTATTTTATTTTATTTTTAAAAAAGGAGGGGTCATTATGATTATAATTTGGATTTATAAAATGGCTAGCTTCGACTTTATTTATCTTTATTTTTAATACGCTTTGAGTTTCAAAGTCACCTGAGAGTTGCCTATAAATTGGCAATTGGCATCCCATCATACACAAACACACCCATCAATTCAAGAAAATACAAAATGGGAGCTCAAACTTTCACAACCCCAACCTCAAATTCACACAATGCTCTCACATTTCTCCTCCCAATTCTCCTATTGATCTTCATGCCAAATATGCACACAACCTTGGCAACTTCTTCTTCTTCTCAGACCTACAAAAGCTACGTCAAAACTGCCTGCAACACAACCACATACCCACTCATTTGCTACAAATCTCTCTCCTCATACGCCTCCAAAGTCAAATCCGATCCTCATAAGCTTTGTACCTATGCCCTCTCCGTTACCCTAAAAGCAGCAAAAAACGCCTCTTCCGTAGTTTCAAAGCTTTATAAAAATACAGGATTAACCCCATCCGAGAAAGGGGTGGTCAAGGATTGTATAGACAATATTAAGGACTCCATCGATGAGCTCAAACAGTCAGTGAGTTCCATGAGCAATTTGGGGGTTTCGGGTTCCGACGTGCAATTACAATTGGATGATATAAAGACTTGGGTTAGCGCCGTCATCACGGATGACGCTACTTGCACGGATGGATTTGATGGGGTGAAGGTAAGCACGGCGGTTAAGACCGCCATCAAGAACAGCATTGTGAATGCTGCTAGGTTGGCTAGCAATGCTCTTTCTCTCATAGACAGCCTCATTTACTAGTTCAACCTATACCCTTTGTATTTCCTTGACGTTTTTATTTTATATTTTATTTTACTTTGGTTGATAGAAAGTTAATAGATTTTATAATTTATTATGTGTGTGTTTAATGTAATTAAAAGTTGTGTGAAATGGTTTTGTGACAGTTGGAAGAGTGGTTTGTATACTACTACTACTATATGTAATGTTGTACAACAGAGGGAGTTTTGAGCAATTTGATAACAAATAAGCAAGCCCCTTAGCCCCCCCATGTTGATCAAAGATCCCATCTATAGTAATTGGCCATCGACAGAACTTCTATTCTATAGTTGTCTTTTAATATTTTTGTTTCCGGTGTATAAGAGCTTCCTTTCCTATGCGTGTATTCTCAAAAACAATGAGAAAAAAACAAATGAAGATCTTCCCATTCCCATGTGAGTTCACATTGATGCATATATGAATGATTCCAAAACCCTGTTTATAATAATCCAACCCCGCATCTTTCAGTGTAAAATGCAAGTGCTAAACTATTATTGCCCAATTTAATTATTTGCCAAACGTTCAGTGAAATTTAATCGTTTGTTGGGGAGGATTAGGCTAGACTAGACTAGTAAAGTGGTTATATTTCATGTGCAGTCAATACATAATATGAATATTGTTGTCTAACTTGGAGGATGAAATTGAATGATGACTAAAACTTATCCCTTATAATCTCATCATTTTCAAGGGGATTAGGGGGATAAGTTTGTAGTCATCAACCTCTTATAGATAGTCCTCATTCTTCCTCCAAGTTCGGCAATATATCCATATTATGCCTTGAATGCACATGAAATGTAGGCATTTTGCCAGTCTAGTCCTCCCTATCACACAAGTGAACAATTTATTGGCAGCGACGCACGGTTTTAATTTTTTTTGTTTAATTAGATTATAATTATTTTAAATTAATGAGAGTTACACTTGAAGCATGTGTTGTCATGGAAGTAATAGTGAACTAAAGCAATGGTTAATCTTGCATAATTAGTGTTTTTTCTTTTCGAAAAAAGCAGCTATATATATGCAAACGTAAGAAATGAAATGAACATGTTGTAACTGTAAGTACAGTAGTTTTATGCACAGTCGTTAGTTTTTCTTGTTGGCAAACAGTTTGTAATTGATAAAATTCCCACACGGCATCTCGGGTTTGTGATGTGTGTTTTCTCCAAGCGCAAGTGTTTACAAGTCAAATTTTAAATTGATATATTCTTGCATTAATTCAGGCATGGGAATGGGGATGATCACATGGAGAATACATGATCTGATGATTCGATATCTTTTTCAGTCCTTTCGAACTTGTTCTCTTATTATTAATTGAAATTAGAATATCTAGAAATTTTAATTAAAATATGTGGCACTACCCAACCATCCATCACAATTACACAAACGTCCTTGGAAACCATGTGTTAAGGTTCAACTCACTACTACCAATATCGATACTATCTCTAATTTAACTATCATATAATGGCATGCATATGTGTAAGATTTTATGCAAAATGTCTCGTGAAACTTTATATTCTTCAACACTATAAAGAGCTAAATATCATGAATATCTTATATATCTTGAAATATTCAAATAATATATTGTGAAAGGAAAGGTAAGTCTAAGTCATCATAAGTGATGGATGGGTGCCCATGCCATTGCGATTTGCCTACCTACGTACATCATGAATTGAAAACTTTATTGTTCTTTTAGGTATAAACTAAATTCCAGAGCTGCGGCTGTGGATAAGACACGATTCTTAACTTATAT